CACATCTTGATTGTATGTTCAGTCGATTTCAGACTGTAGAAATTGAAAAAATCTTCAATTTCCTCATCTTTGGCTTTGGTGGTTTGTACATAAATTTGAATAACAGTAATATTAACTGGTCTTCCTTATAGGCATATAGATATTCTCCTGTCACTGACAACATTGTACTTCAGGATAGATCTTGAAACGTTCTATGTAATGATGAATGCCACGCCATTCCTCTTCAATTTATAATTCCCAGCATAGTAGGTCATATGGTTGTCTGATTCAAAATGGCCAAAACCAATCCATTTCAGCTAACTAATTCCTAGGATAATGATCCTTATGCATTCCATTTCAGTTTTGACAACTTCTAATTTTCCTAGATTCATACTTCTTACATTCCATGCTCCAATTATTAATAGATATTTGCAGCTGTTTCTTCTTATGTTGAGTTGTGCCATATCAGCAAAAAAAAAAAAAAAAAACCTCACTGCTGTCAAGTCAGATCCAACTCATAGCAACCCCTCCTTGGGTTTCTGAGGCAGTATGACTATGGAAGTAGATTGCCCAGTCTTCCTTCTCAAGAGTGGTTCATGGGTTTGAACTGCCAGCCTTTTGGTTAGCAGTCAAATGCCTTAAGCACTATATCAGCAAAAGGAGGTCTGGAAAGTTTACTTCATACACATCATTAAGGTCAGCTCTATTCTGAGGAGGCAGCTCTTTCCTGGTCATATTTTGAGTGCCTTCTGACCTGAGGGGCTCATTCTTTGGCACTGTATCAGATAATGTTTCAGGGCTATTTTTAAGTAATATATCAGAGAGTGTTTCACCACTATTCATAAGGTTTTCACGGGCTAATTCTTTGAGAAGTGGATGGCCTCTTCTTTCTTCTGAGTCAATCTTAGGCTGAAAGCCTCTGTCCACTGTGGCTAACCCTGTTGGCACTTAAAACACTGGTGGCACAGCCTCCAGCCTCACAGCAACACAAAAGCCACCACAGGATGACAAACTGACAAACGAGTTTATCTCTCCTAGCTGTTCCAAACTGCTCCACTCCTGCTTCCTGGCCATCCCTACCAGTTCTGGGCCTCCAAAAAGCTGTGTTCAACTGTAGGAGGGGAAATGCTAACCAGAGAGCAGACACATATTAACTTGGGTAAACCAGAGAGCAGACACATATTAACTTGGGTAAAGGGAAAGGCAGAGTATAATAATGAGGAGGTCAGTACAATATAACCAAGGCAAAGGAAGACACTGGGAGGTACACAAGAGTAAAAAACAAAGCTAAATACTATTATATACACAATCCTGCAATAACAGTAACAACAAACAATAACCATGAGTAGATGCATACGTAGACATGCAAGCTGAACAGATGATGGAAGGCAAATGAGAATACATTCACAAGTATATATAGGTTTGGTAGAGGATATTTCTATGTGTGGACTTGTATGTGCTACAAATATATCCAAAGATATTGTAGAAAATACAGAGGGCAAACTTTTGAAAACTTCTTAGCCATAACCAAACACCTTGACAGAATGAGTCACTGGGCCTGGGGGCTAAGGATCACAGTCTCGGGGACATCCATATCAAGTGGCATAACAGTCCACAAAGACAATGCTCTACATCCTATTTTGAAAAGTAGCAACTGGAGTCTGAAAAGCTTTAGAGTGGCCATCTAAGATGCAACTATTTTTCTCTTCCCATCAGGGCAAAGAAGAGTGAAGAGTATCAAAAACTTAAGGAAACAATTACTTGAGGAGTAATGTACCACATGAATCACATCCAGTACCCTGAGACCAGAAGAACTAGAAGGTGCCCAGCTACTACTACCAACCACTCTGATAGGATCACAATAGAAGGTCCTGGACAGAGTGGAAGAAAAAAAAATGTAGCTAAAATTCAAAATGACAAAAAGAAAAAGACGAGATGTATTGGTCTGATAGATGGTGATGGAATCCCTAAAATTGTGGCCCTTAGATATCCTTCAAGCCTGGAACTGTACCCACCCCCAGGATTACTTTCAGCCAAACAATAGACAAAGCTATAAAGTGAACAATAACACCAGGGAGGAATGCACTTCATAGAACAATCAACCATATGAAACCAAAGGGCATTTGCCCAAAAACAAAGCTCAGAAGCCAGAAAGGGGCAGGAAAGAAGTACAAATGGAAATTGGAAACACAGGGAAGAAGTGGGAAGAGTGCCGTTATGAGGACTACAATCAATATTGTGAAACAGAATGTATATAAATTATTGAATGAAAAGCTAATTTGCTCTGTAAACTTTCACCCAAACCACAATAAAAAGGATGTAAAAAATAAATTTTATGTTCTTCATTCAATTTTTTAAAACAATAGGCTAGAGGTCAAGCTAGTTTAGCATAAGTACATAACAAACCCATTAATAACTGCTGACCTGTCTGCCCTAGTCACAAAACAACATTTATAAAAACAAGAAAAATCCTGAACACTTCTTTTCCTTAGCTAATGATGACTGTCACTGAAAATTCATTTCAGTTCATTGTATGAACAAGGTTCATTAATAAATGTAGTATATACACTGTATTGAATGGAAACAAACCAGGTATAGTTTTCTCTTGCAATCTGAAGGTACAGCATTCTTAAAGAAACTGCCAAAATGGTAAACAAGCAATTACCATTGATTTATATAGGAAAAGTGTTTGAGCATTCCCAGTGCCAAAATATAGCCTGCCAAATCATACCACGTCACACAAAAAACTAAAATAACACTAACATAGAGTGTTCATAGTGCACAGTTCAATCATTAAAAATTATCTTTCTGAAATTTTTGATCACTGGACTATGTAGGCTGTTACTGGATGATGTGATGCTAATGAATTAAAATTGCTGTAAACAAAAAATATTAAAAATATGTTTACAAGAGAAAAATTTAAATACAAATGCTAAAATTATTGGAGGAAAATGTATAGTATCTGGGGAAATCAGAGAAATGAGAACTCAAAAGATATTCTCTGCCACTATTAAATTATTATACCTACTCAAAAAGGTATTACAATAGTAAATCCTGACAGGATTCTGTTATGTCATGATCTGACACAATACGTATGTATGGAAGGTAGTACCAATTGGTGCAAACATTTAGTACATGACACACTGTAGAAGTTTAATAAATATTTGTTGAATCAATAAGTAAGAATTAATTTACCACCATATATCCAGACACTTGAATACAATCATATCCTTTGATTGATAATCTTACTTTAAGTAATGTATGTTGTTTTTAGGTACCGTCAAGTCCAATTCATAGTGACACAATGTATAAGAGAATGAAACACAGCCTGGTCCTGGGCCATCCTCATGATCATCATGCTTGAGTCCATTGTTGCAGCCACTGTGTCAGTCCATCTTGTTGAGGATTCTTCTCTTTTTCACTGACTCTCTACTTTACCATGCATGATGTCCCTCTCCAGGGACTGGTCCCTCCTGATAACATGATCAAGTAGGAGACAAAGTCTCACCATCCTTTGTTTTAAAGAGCATTCTGGCTGTACTTCTTCCAAGACAGATTTGTTTGTTCTTCTAGCAGTCCATGTTGATTTCAATATTCTTTGTGAACACCATAATTCAAATGCATCCATTCTTCCTTGGTCTTCCTTATTAATTGTATAATTTTCACATGCATATGTGGTGACCCTGGTAGCATAGTGCCCAAGGTACTTGACTGCTAACCAGAAGGCTGGTGATTCAAACCCACCAGTCACTCCTCAGAAGGAAGTTTGGGCAACCTACTTCAGTAGTGATAATGCCTCGGAAACCCAAGGAGGAGTCACTATGAGTCAGGTCTGACTCAATGGCACATAACAACAACAACAACAACAACATGTGGTGACTAAAAATACCTCTTGGGTGAATGGTAATGAGTTTTTAAGGGAATTATACAAAGCATGCATTTTCTAACCAAACCAAGATGTATACAATAGGGTACTCATGTACATTTTCTTAAAAGGGAAAAAATAGTCACAACTAATGTCCAAATGGTTAAGCAAGTAATGTAGATACATAGAGCCATGGAGACTTAAATTTCAAGTTAATTTAACAACTATACTAAAATCACAAGTGTCATGCCCATAATTCTTGACTGAAAATGACTGAAATATTTAAAATATTGGTGTATTTAATTTCTTGGTATAAGGTTTTATTTCATTCTTTTAATTGTCAATTTTAAAATCAAAGAAAGTTGTTACAGTTTCTGGAAAAAAAAATCTGTATCATTACTTAGATAACTGATGCTAGGTCCAATATTAGCAAATTTGTTAAAACTTACATGCATGCTATATAAATGCAATGCAACGCACTGCCATAGAGTCGGATCTGAGTCATAGCAACCCCTCCTTAGGTTTCCAAGGCAGTATCAGTATGGAAGTAGATTGCCCAATCTTTCTTTCGAGGAGTGTCTGGTGAGTTTGAACCTCCAATCTTCTGGTTAGCAGTCAAGTGCCTTGGGCACTACTCTACCAGAGCTCCTATGTTATATATACATATGCAATATATGTATGTATATACGTACATACATTCATACACATATGTATACATATCTGTAGAGATCTACAGATATAGAGATGTATGTATATACTACAGATATATATGTGTGCATATGCTTGTATATATGTACATATGTATATACATATAGAGAGGTACATGTATGCATATATATATATAGAGAGAGAGAGAGAGAGAGAGCTACATGTAGATATAGAAAGAAGGAGCCCTAGTGATACAGGTTAAGCACTTGGCTGGTAACCAAGAGGCCAGAGGTCCAAACCCACTAGCCACTCCAAGGAAGAAAAGAACTGGCCATGTGCTCTCATAAAGATAACAGCCAAAGAAATTCATGATGCAGTTCTACTCCATTATATGGAGTCAAAATGGGGTGCTATGAGTCAAAATTGACCTGACACACAATAACAACAATATAGAGAGACACAGCTTAGACAGGTAATCCTTTAAAAATAAAAACCCAAGTCACAATACCTTTATGAGCTCTGACGGTTCACTTCCTTCCTCTACAACTATTAGTTGAGATCTTCCTTTCCTTTCGTTATCCCGAATGCCAATAGCAACCTGGTTTGCCTTCAGACGCTCATATTTATTACATGAAGAACCACACCATTGGTAAATATCCTAAAAAAAAATTGATATTTTGACTGTATGGAGGAATATGTAGAAGACATTCAATTTTAGTGTAACACTGTGATTAATTGGGAAAAAATTTTAAAAGTATAAAAAAATAAACTTAAAATAGTCTAATTGTTGAAGTACATATGATTTTATATATTTAAAATACATATAGATTATACACACACACACACACACACACAAAAAAAAAACACTTAGTCTGCATTCTCTTGCTTTCAATCAGCATTATAAAGTGAGTTTTTGTTAACAGGAATACAAAATACTTATCTCACCATTCTTTATGTGCATAATTTGCTAATTATAATTTATGAGTTTAAAATTATTACTTATTACTTAATTAGAAAGTATTTTTTTCATCAAGATGCCTATTTTTTTCAGGCCAAATATATTTGTGTTAATTATTTGTTGTTGTTGTTGTTGTTTGCCATTGAGTCAGCCCCGACTCATAGTGACCCCTCCTTTGGTTTCCGAGGCAGTATCACTATGGAAGTAGGAATGCCCAACCTTCCTTCTGAGGAGTGGCTGGTGGGTTTGAACTGCCAGCCTTCTGGTTAGCAGTCAAGTGCCTTAGCCACTATGCTACCAGAGCTCCTGTGTTAATTATAGATTACTTAAATTAAAAAATAAATAAACTTAGCATATTTCAGAAAGTTAGTGAAGAATCTATTATAGTAATATAACCTTAATTATGATTAAAATGGATATAGCATTTTTTAAAAAGATATTTAACAATATTTATCAAGAGTCATAAAAAGAGTTTAAAACCTTTGACCCAGTAATATCCCTATTTGAAACTTGCTTTAATAAATTATTCATAAAGATTAAAAAAAAAACATATGCACATTGCTATGTGATTGTATTAGTGAGGCATGAGAAAAATATTAAATGTGTAGTAGTAAGACAATGGTCATATAGATTATTTATATAGATAAAATTAGATACTTAACTTTAAACATCATGCTTTAAAATAAAAACATGGAACAATGTTTGATATAAAATAAATTATATTAACTGCCATTGTATAAGGAGTTCTGGTGGCATACCGCCTAAGGTATTTGATTGCTAACCAGAAGGCTGGCAGTTCAAACCCACCAGCCACTCCTCAGAAGAAAGAGTGGGCAATCTACTTCTGTAGAGATACCACCTTGGAAACCCAAGAATGGGTCGTTATAAGTCAGAACCGACTCCATGGCAGTGAGTTTGTTTTTGAGTTTTGTTTTGGCCATTATATAAAATAGCAATCTACTTCCATAAAGATTTACCACCTCGGAAACCCAATGGGGGTTGCTATGAGTTGGGATCGACTCGATGGCAGTGAGTTTGGTTTGGTGTAATGGTTATATAAAATATTATATATTTTAACTAGGCTCAATTATTCTGAACGTATACAGATATAAACAACAGTAATAGTGTATATATAAATAAAGTAACAGTGTACAGGAGACATACAAGAACTCTTTATACATTCTGCACAATTTAAACTGCTCTAAACCATAATGTCTGTTTTTTTTTTTTTTTTTTAAAGTTTACTGGGTGCCTATTATGGGGTTACCTCTCTTGGAGGCACTAGAACCCAACTCTGAACAAAGTAGGCCTGAAATGATCTCTCTGACCCAATCTCCTGTTTCTGACTGACCTACTGCATACTCCTCTTTAGGAATAAAATATAAGTTTTAGGAATTCAAATCCTTTAAAAGAAAAAAAAGAAGGGGACTATGCCTTGCCATTCCTTTGACTCTAAAATCTGCTTTAGTTCTTCAGTTTGGTCAAGTGGCATTTCTTTCTTGTTTTTAAGAGAACGATGCACTTACTGTTTCATCTCTCACCTCTTTTCTACATCTGGGCATCTGAATGTGAGACTTATATTTGGAGACAATGCCACAAAGAGTGAAGGTAAATTGTTCCCAATGATCAGGCAACTCTTCATAACTGGGCATTAAAATCAGGGGATGGAGTATGAAGCAGATTTTTAGAAATACAGATACCTGGACACCAACCACCCTTGAGGATTCTCAGGAGTTTTCTGGGCAGCAATGTTTACTGAAAGACCCCCAGGAGATTCGAACATTCAGCCAGGGATGAGAACCACTGCTGATGGCCCAGAGTGTCTCACAAGGGCATGGGCAGCAGGGAATGTTTAACATCTAACATCCAATTATCTGATGCAGCCAGGCAGACTCCTCTGCTGAGTGTATCCTAGGCTCTTAGCTCAGGTTGTCTTCAATAACCTATTCCATGATACTCTGGAAGTTATGACTTTCTCAATAGGTCTGAGAAAACAATCTTCTAATAATTACATTGTACACAACAGAGAATTATAGGAAAGCAATCAAAAGTAACCTCTCTAGATTTCTCAGATTTTTTAGCAGCTTTCATAACTGACTCACTCTACTTTTACCAACAGATATTTATGTTCTTTTTATCTCAGTTGTATAAATGACCTCTCATTTACTCAAAGAGATTATATAAAATCACACTGATTTTTATTAACATCTGTAAAACATTCTGGAAGCTTTGTAAAATTTAAAAATTAATTGTAGCTAATGACAATTTTACAAACATAATTATTATTTAATGTAGAATTATAAAATACTCTCTGTGATATTAGCCAGAGTGCTCCTTGGAAGCAAGAATGGCCAGACTTCCTCTCACCTACTTCGGCCATCTCATCAGAAAGGACCATTCCCCAGAGAAGGAGCTCTGGTGGTGTAGTGCCTACGGCATTTGACTGCTAACCAGAAGGCTGGCGGTTCAAACCTACCAGCCACTCCTTGGAAGGAAGATTGGGCAGTCTACTTGTGTAATGATACCACCTCGGAAACGCGAGGAGTGGTCGCTATGTCAGATTTGACTCCAGTGCAATGAGTCTGATTTTTGTTTTTGTGTTTCTAAAGTGGAAGGTCAAAAAGAAAGAGGAAGGCCCTCGATGAGAAGAATTGACACAGCGCAATGATGGGCTCAGGTATAGCAAGGATTGCGAGGCTGGCACAGGACATTGTTTTGTTCTGTTGTACATAGGGTCGCTATGGGTTGGAGCCAACTTGGAGGCACCTAACAACATGATATTAGTTTGGGTTGGGAGTTTTATACGTGTAGTGTCAATTTAGGAGCTCTGGTAGCCTAGTGCCTAAGGCACTTGACTGCTAACCAGAAGGTTGGTGGTTCAAACTCACCAGCCACTCCTTGGAAGGAAGGTTGAGCAATCTACTTCTGAAGTGATACCGCCTAGGAAACCCAAGGAGGGGTCGCTATGAGTCGGCTCCGACTCGAGGGCACATAACAACACAACAACAGTGTCGATTTACAGCTAAATTTAATTGTAGGAAATATTCTTCAGCATCACTTAGGGCTCACAGTTCCTGTGTCACAAGCTTGAAAACCCTGGAGAGCATTTCTACTCTGAACACATCATGTGGCCACGAGTTGGAATCAACTCAATAAGAATGAACAACAATAACAAGTCAGGAAAAAAACATAATCATAAAAATAGCATAACTTTTAAAAGTTAAGTTTTCCTTTTAAATCAGAAATGACTAAGTCACTAAAGAAACAAAGAAAGAGTCTATACTTAGCATGAAAATGAATGTTTTGTATTCTGCCTGTGCTTTCATTATTTCCACTTAATTTTGTGCTACCATTTATCTAAACTTGACATATTTTATTATTTACTAACCGTATTCTTCAATAGTTAATCAGACAATAAATGCAATAAAACATTGACTTTAATTGCAATTTGCTAAAAGCCAGAATTGTGTAGAGTCAGGTTCATTAAAACACACTTTTTTTCAATGCTAATTAATTTTTTGTGCAAATATAGTTCATTCAGTAACAGTAGTATCACATTAAAACTTGTTTGGAGAGTTTAAATATAATTTTAGCAGTTCATTGGTTTTGAGCAATTTATATTCTGCCCAGTGTGGGTGATGTTTAGGACAGACCCTCTCATGTTAACAGAGCTCTACTGTGCTGAAATAAATGTGGGCAGTGCTATTAATAAACTGCACTAGCTAACACTTACTCTATTCAGAGGTGGTTGGTAAAGACAACTTCACCACTCTGTGAACAAGGTAATTTTGTTCTAAATTGGCACCATGCTTGAAAAATTATCTCCTATAAATGTGTGCTAAGGGGAATAAGCTGAAGAAAAAGGAAAAAAAAAAAAAAATACTGCATCAAGACTAAATAAAGCCTGAATTGATATGCTATGTATTATTACAACAAAAACTTTTCACTACAATTTAAATTATATTATTTGTAATACTTTAATGGGATTTAGCTTTAAAGCTTTTCATAAATCTGATTTAAGTGCACCAGAAAGTGGATATTATAAAATAAACACAGCTTCTCAGTTAACTATTTTACCCCTAAGATCATAAGGAATTTAATAACTCAATACTAAATGTCATATTTCTTTGGGGATGGAACATAAAAACTTCCTATAAATATAGGAATATTCATTCAATGTGGAACCCAGCACACTAAAATTTTGGCGGGGAGTTGTTGACGTACATATTGCTCATGCAAAAACCCCGTAGTAGAAGTTTGTGAAACCATAATTCTCAAATACACAAACAACTCAATGAAAACAAAATCATTCCACATAATCAGAAAAGGAAAAAAACAAGGAAATAAAGGCTATTTGGTACTGGTAATTAGTTTGGTCTACCAGTAACACGAAAAAAAAATGAGTATTATTTATAGACAGTCACATTAGGGGAGGAAAAGATGTGTTAATGGTCTTGAAAACTAGATGTTTCTAAAATTTCCTTTAAACTATGTAGTCAAAGTTAATAAATAAAACATCAAAGTGCAGCCAAACATGATTTGCAGACAGGAAGTAAGAGCAGAAATAATACCACGTTCAATGATGCCCTTGATGGGGAAAGCAAGATTTCAGAAGACAAGTGGAGAGGCATGGATGATGATGACTCGAAGTGCAAATAATTCAGCATGGACTTGCTATGCTAAGTCAGTTATTCTAAACA